GGAGAGATAGAAAGAAAGAGAAGAGAAGGGAAGGCAAGGGAAGGGAAGGAGAAGAGAAGTACTGGCAGAGAAAGATGAGAAATACTGGAAGGTAGTCAGACGTCAGACGTTGGCCGGCCAATGAGGGGGCAAAGCACTTCAACAAAACAAACGCATTTTCCCAGGATTCTCGGCTCCCACTTGATCAATGATTCTGCAACATTGAATCATTTTTAATTTAATGCTTCTGGGAAGGGAAGGGGGGTGGGGGTGGGAACCCATCAACCACAGGCACAGTTGGCAAGCGCCGAGCATTAGCATTTGGCAGCGTTTATTATCGCTGTTTATGACGGCATAAATTAAGTTTATGCTGATATAATTAATAACCCTAAATTTGGGAATAATAAATAGTAATATTTATTCAGAACTGCCACGTCTGGGGGAAGGCGAATGGAGTCCTCCCGCTCCCGGTTCTGTCTCTGGGGTGGGGGGAAGGCTGGGAAGGGGCGAGCCCCTGGGAATCAACTCTGAGGACCCCCAGCCAGCCCCATGAATCATTTAGCACTATGCTAATGAGTTAGCAGCAGGACCTTGAGAGTTCCCAGAGCAAACAATTTCCATTTTTATCTCCACGAATAAGTAAATCAGCAAGATTGAGGATGTCACATTTCTTTCCAGAACCAGGGCCTGCCATTGCTTCCCTGGGTGCAAACACGGGTTCCTGGGCTTTACCTACATCGCTCGACAGATGGACTAAATGCAACTGTTCTGGTTTAGGGTGGGGGGAGTGTTTTATTTATTTGTTTATTTTTTGGTCCTTCTAGCCCTTTCCACCCATTAGGAGAGGTGTCACATCAGGGATATCCTGAAGGTTCCTTTGGACTGGGATTTGAGAATTGCTGACAGGCATTTGCAAAGAAAAAAAAAGTGTTAAGGCAGAAAAGAGGATGTCTTTCATTTTATAAAGCAATAAACAAAACCATGAGGTTTAAAAAAAAATCGTCCTGTAATTGTTGTCTAGAAAAATAGTGTCTCGGAATTCGAAACCGACTGAGACTTCTTGTGTCCCCATGACCAGACCCAAATAACACATCTCCCCGCCCCCCATTTCCAAGCACAAGGGGTGCGGAAAACTAAGGAGGGTTGCACGTTAGCTCGTGGCAGACCCACTGAATATGAGGGTCTGGGTCAACAAAGACTAATTTCAGTCCATCTTCTGAGGGGCTGTGGATCTGTTTGTATTTGTATCCAAGTAAGAAGAGTTAACGCACTAACATGCACCACGGTCTTTGTGCTAGACAGCCTGGATTCGGATATCACCTCTCGTCACAAACTGGTCGTATAACTCTGGGCCTGTAGGAAGGTTTGAACTCAGGACCTCACACTGGTCCAGCTCGCTTGCCTGCTCAGCGTGGCACTCTACCCCTTAAGCCATACCTCCCGCCCCTAGGTTTTTGGCTGGTTGTTGTGGAGATGGACTTTTCTGTGAGGGCTGGCTTTGAACCTTAGTCCTCAAGATCACAGCTTCCCGACTAGTTCTGATTACAGGTCCGAGCCGCGGCCTCCTCTTTCCCAGCTTGTATCATTAGACAGTTCAGAAATGATCTGCCTCCTGCTCACTGGCCTCTCTGATCCAGCCACCAAGGTCACCTTTGTGCTAACCTGGTTTGCACTAACCTCCTCATTCGGCTTCAGACCACTCAGAGAAGATTCAAAGAGTCACAGAACCATTGCCTTGATTTGGCTGATTTACCCAGAATTCAGTACAATTGAATACAAGTAAGCAGGCTGGAAACGGATCCGCGTGGAAGATATAACCATCCATCTTTGTGTTTTGTTTTCCTGCTCAGACCCATGTCTCGAAGAGAGCTCTCGGGCCAGGAAAGGCCCGGCACTCTATTATTTCACAAGGAGATTCCAGCCATGCCTCTCGGTCCACTGTTACCGAAACCAACCAGCCCTCCTCAGAGACTCCACATCCATCCCCACAGAATGACACGACGCCACTTCCACACACCCTCACTCATTCCACGGAGGCCCATGAATTGTTGCAAAAGAAAAAAAATCACCATCTGGGAGGTTAAGTGATAAATTCAAGTCTAGTTTCTCCGGTCTTTCTGCGAAGTCTTTCTGCTATTCAGAGGGCCACAGGGAAATTTTATCTTTTTTTGGTTGTGGGGCCTGAACTCTGGGCCTGGGCGCTGTCCCTCAGCTCTTCAGCTCAAGGCAAGCGCTCTACCACTTGAGCCACAGCGCCACTTCCAGCTTTTTCTGCTTATGTGGTGCTGCGGAATCGAACGCAGGGCCTCATGCGTGCGAGGCAAGCGCTCTACCCCTGAGCCACGTTTCCCAGCCATGTATCACTTTTAAGAAGTTGTGACCAGCTATAGGTCTGGGGAAAGCAAAGTTCAGAAGAACCTCAGCAGCAATGCTCCAGCGAACTTAACCTGGGCCAGCTCAGACACGGAGAAAGGGGATTTGATTTTAGTTTTCTTTCCATGGGATGTCTCAGGAGAGAGCCGCCTCTTGTGGGCAAGGCTCACAGAACAAAGACGACACCAAACCCACCTGATTCCCCCACAAGGATGTGGGTGTGACCAGAGGGAGAATGTCCATCGCACAGAGAGTTCAGGCAGACGTTAGATTAGCCCCACACTGACTGACATTAGGTCCCAAGAAGAGCTCTCAGGGACTCAACTTCCCTAGCCTTCGGTTGTAACACATCCCGGATCCCTGGCAGGCTCCAGACTTCCCCTGGCCACCCGTGCTATGACCCGGGCACATCCTTTCCTGTCTGTGGAAATACGCCATCGTTTCCAGATCCCTCCCGGAGTGCCTGGAGCTCCATGATGAAAGCTGTTCTAGAAATGAGCAGGGTGATTTGAGTCATCGTAAATAACGACGATGGTGACGGATGGCTGTGTCACCCACAAGAAGCTGGCGGACCGCGCAGGAACACAAAGCACGGGGGTTGGGGGGCTGGAAATCATGGGTCCCCCCCAGCAAAGAGGCTACCTGGTCACAGAGACCACATCCCCCTTTTAAGCCAGTGACTCGCTCAGGCCTCTGAAATCCCCAAGCTCGAATACTGCTATGGGCTTGGGAGACACCCCCCCCCCTCCATCCCTCCATCTCCCTCTATCAGCTGAAGAGAAAAGCTGGGCGGGTCAGGGAGCAGACACCTTTACGAATTCAGGTTACAACTCTGGAGTCCAGTGCTCTTCCCACTCTCTGCAGGACCCCGGGTAAGCCCGTGGAAGGAGTGCCAAGGAGAAGGGGCAAAGTGTCAGAATAGGATGGCACCTCGCGGAGCTGTTCTCCATCCACTGGGGCTGAGAATGCGCAGCAGGGAAATCCCTGGCCATTTCCAGCGTGAAGGTGCCTTGCACCAATGTACCAGAGGTGTTCTCTGGCAAAGGAACAAAGGGTGGACACCAGCAGCAGTGGTCCGCACTAGACCCTATGTTGAAAATGAACTACACAATTTGTGAATGGGGACAAGACGGGGAAAAACTGGGAGAGAGCGAGGGAAAGGGGTGATACTGTCCAAAAAGAAATGCATTCACTACCTGAGTTATGTAATTGTAAACCCTCTGTGTGCACGCACACGCGCGCGCGCACACACACATACACACACACACACACACACACACACACAGGCAGCTGGGAAATGCTAAGCTAGAAGGCCTTGATCTATGTGAACACGTAAGTACCTTCTTTTATGTAGCCACTATAATTTTCTTTTTACAATCTGTGGGCTTAGTTTATATTTGACATAGCTTGACATATCTGTATTTCATTATTTATAACGTATGCCTTTCTTATGGTAGCATTGTCTTCTCATTTGTTAACCTTTTTAACTTATCTTCATTTTATGTTCTGCCTTTAGAAGTAGTCTATTCTGAGCCAGTAAGATTTACTTTTTTTGATTACAGAAATTTAACTAGCATTCTTATTTTTTTCACTTTAACTCTAGAGTTTTTGTTTTCTTTGTAGAGTGTGTGTGTTTGTATGTGTACACATGTACGCTGGTCCGGGGGCTTGAACGCAGGACCTGGGTGCTGTCCCTGAGCATTTTTGCTCAAAGATGGTGCTCTACCACTTAAACCATAGCTCAACTTCCAGCTTTTTTAGTGGTTAGTTAGGGATAAAAGTCTTAGGGTTCTTCCTTCCCAGGCTAGCTTAAGTCTCATTTTATTTTTGTCCTATCCCTCTGTTCGTATTGCCTTGTTAATTTTTAAGCTTGGGCTGCTGCTCATTTACTAAGGAAAATCTGAATGGCAAATCATCATTCACATTCTTCCCATAGCAAAAGGAATGGATCGCAGCAGGAAGGGGGCTTGGACTCTGCCTGCACCCTGGGAGACGAGGATTTGTGCGTGAGTGTGAGTCCAGGAACACCCACGCCCCAGCCACGTGGCTCTGGAGAGGCCCCTGCACCTCCCACTCACAAACTCTGAGGACGCAGACCCTTCCCCACAGAGCTCACCCACCACAGGAGCAGGCAGCCTCCCGCCACACACCCCACAGGCACGCAGAGGCCAGGGACGGAGAAGCGGAGACTCCCACGCCCTTGTCTTAAAGTTGCATCTAGTTGACGGTCAAGGTGTCTCTGCTGTGAACATCAATGAGCCCACGAACGCACAGGCCTTCGCTGTGAAGGAACCGCACACAGGCGCAGAGTCCCAAGTTTGCCGCACTGAGGCAAGCCACTGGGCGACGCTGGACGTGAAAGGAGGCGGGCTGGACTCGCTTGCTTCCTCCCCTCCAGCATTAACTGCCTGTGATGTCATCCCCTGGGATCCAGGGAAACATGGCGGGCCCTGGTGTACTCATGTACTGAAGACGGGCCGCTCCCTGTGCAGGCACACCTCCCATGAAGGAACTGATCTCGGTCACAGGTCACAGCAAGGCCTTCCCCACCACAGCTGTTGTTTGAGATGGCGATGGTCAATGCAGTCAGGGGAGCGCTGGTGTGGGGCAGGCCTGGGGGGGGGGGGGGGGAGGGGAACACAACGTACTTGCCGTGGACCACACCGTCGGGGTTGAGCATCGGGATGATCTTGAAGACAAAGTTCTCCCTCAGGAGCCTGGCCACGGGGTCCTCGCTCACCAGGAACTCCAAGGCCCCCTTGGCCACCCAGCTGGAGTTGCTCTCCCCGGGATGGACTCTGGCGGTGATCACCTGGTAGGGGCGGTGTCCTGGGGAGAGAGGGAGAGGCGGGAGAATTACATCTGAATGTCTGGAGTGCTTTCTGTGTCCATGGAGATAATAAGCCTCTGGTGAGTCGGGGATGGCACCCGGACCGGGATAGAGTTCAAAACCGGCATGTTCACTGACGCGCAGATCTGACCTGCCATTACCCATCTTCCACCTGCTTGCCTTCCACGTCTACCAGGCTGCGGAGAGTACAAAGTTCAAGCTCAAGGCTGCTTGGTATGAAAAGAAAGGGACTGTGCTGAACCAATCAGCTCTTTGGGCTCCGCTGTAATGTGTGATGCTGGATCTCACAGACGCGAGACTGACTCTTATCGCTAAGATTTCAGGCAAGCATTTTAATCAATCTGGTTGGAGGCCCTGCCCTCATCTGTGAAGTGAGGACAGGCTCAGTGACCCCCATATGGTCGCTAGGGACACAAAAGGATGTCAACATAATGTGTCCGGTATAAATATTTTCGGGGCACCAAACGTTCAGCACATAATTAGCTCCCTTCTTCCTCAAGTGAAAACTAAATATAAAAACCAGCACTGGTGAGGATGCCCAAGTCCATGGGCCATGAAGTGTATATACCATTGCTGCTGCTGCTTAGTTGATGTGACCATTCTAGAAATCAGTTTGGAGGGTCCTGGAAATGGCTAAAATTGTAACTCCTATAGGACCCAGGTGTAGCACACCTGGGCATGGAAATCAAAGTTGGCATGTAGTAGTAATGGTTGCATAGCCATGTTCATGGCCACGCTATTTATAATAGCTGAGAACTGGTTTAAGTGTCCATCACTTAAAGAATGGGTAAATCTGGCATGCATACACAGTGAAGTACTATTCAGCCATTAAAAGGTGAAGATCATATTGCTGCCTGGTTTTCCTCATTTGTAGTAATGAGACTGTGCCTACAAATCTATAAATAAACCACAAAAGATGGTAAAAGGCAAAAAAAATTACACTTGGACATGGTAAGTTAAGCAGGACTCTATACATTCACACAGTGAGACCAAAGGAAGATATCCTTAGGAGAGGATCACAACGGCTCAATAGCTATATGGTCAGATAAAAGGATGTTCATCGAAATGAACTCCAAGATTGGTAGCAAGAGGTTTGTTTTATTTTACTTCTTGTGATTTTTGTTTTGTTTCTTGTTTTTCCCTTTTTATTGCTGTTTTTGAGTTGTGTACTTTTTGTCTTGTATTTAAGTTTTAGGGATGGTAAAGTGGGACACAGGGTAGACTAATTCACCAGTAGTACTTACTAGATGCTATGTTGAAAATGAACTATACAACTTGGAGGAAGGGGACTTGGTGGAGAAAAAATTGGAAAAAAACGAAGGAAGAGGTAACACTGTTCCAAAAGGAATGTTCTCGCCAGGTGCCGGTGGCTCACACCTGTAATCCTAACTACTCAGGAGGCTGAGATCTGAGGATCATGGTTCACACCAAGCCAAAGTCCTTGTGAGATTCTTATCTTGAATTAACCACTCAAAAACACAAGTGCCACTGTGGCTCAATGTGGAAGAGCACTAGCTTGAACAAAAGAGCTCATGGACAGTTCAAGCCCCAGGACCTCAACAAGAAAAGAAAAAAAAATCATGCTGTTGGCAGGAAAATGGATGTACTGGAGATCATTATTCTGAGCAAAATCAGCCAGACTGGGAAAGACAATACAATTGTATTGTAAAGGTAAATACAATTTTAAACATCATGACCACAGAAAGGGGGTTATTAGCTCCATGTATAGCTGGGAAAGAAATGAACTCTAATGAATTATATTATCGCAAGCTTATTTTTTTTTGGTCATGGGACTTGCACGCTGGGCCTGGGTGCTGTCCCTCAGCTCTTCAGCTCAAGGCAATCGCTCTACTACTTGAGCCACAGTGCCATTTCTGGGTTTCTGGTAGTTCTTTGGAGATAAGTGTCTCACAGACTTTTCCTGCCCAGGCTGGTTTTGAACTACAATCCTCAGACCTCAGCCTCTTGAGTAGCTGGGATTTCAGGTGTGAGCCACCGCACCCGGCTATCACCAGCTCTTGTGGGGGTACTCCCCCCCCATCAAAAAATAAAAAAAAGCTTTCTCCTGCTTCCTCACAGTTAGCCTAGGCTGACCTCTCTGCCTCCGCTTTGTGAGGGCCGGGATAACAGGTCTACAAGCACCTGCCTGACTGTATCAGTGTACTTTTACTGACTGTGGTGAGAAGCGTTGGCTGTAATTCCTTGTAGGTCATTTACACGCGAGAGGTAGCTTGTCCTACTTCTCCTTAAGCAGGTGTCTTGAACACATTCCAGGAACGTTGGAAGACACGGGGTGGAAAAAAAGTCCAGTAAATTATAGTCTTTGTTCTCTAAGAGACCATAACATTTGTCAGCCATGACAAATACACAAGAAAATAGTGACAAGTGAGCTAATGGAGCTGTGCAAGAGGCCCCCAAAATAGACCTGACTGAAACAGGTAAGGCTATTGCCAGAGATGTGATGGAATTTGGACTGGGGACTCTCACAGAATAAAGAAGTACCTCTTACCAGAGGAAAAAAGCATCCTCTGAGTAGAGAAAAAAGACTCGAGTGCACACACATGTGCATGCACGCGTGCACACATGCACGCACACACACACACAATACGAAGGAGAGCCAACGCACTCCAAACTCAAAAGAATGAGAAGTTGGTATGGGTGGCTAACGCAAAGGACTAGCCGTGGAAGAACATGAATGGAGAAAAGCAGGCTAGTTGTCCGGACGGGAGAAGACTCCTCCTCGTGTGATTTGTTGGAGATTTGAGAGTTTTCCTGCAAGTCAGACGTTAACAACAGAGTCAGCGTGCCACCCCTTGCCACCGGTCGGCTGCCCATCGCAGAGTCTTCCCGGCCAAGGGAAGTATAAGCATTTCTCGGGGATAGCACACGGGGCACACACTGCGGGGTGCTGGCCCTTCCCTCCCACTTCTTTCTAAGGACCAGACCCTGATTGGGCTGGAGAACAAAACGTGTTCAGATTGAAGGACTCAGCTTCAAGGATCCTTTGGCAAGGAGATATTTCCGTGCAATGCAGCAGTGGCCAATGGGATGTAAAACACTGGACTAGAGTGAATCTTTCTGGAAAGATCCATAAAGAACACGGTTGCTGGCAAACACTTATTTGCCTGTCCTCATCCCATCTTATTCATCGATTGAATACCACCAAGTGAGAGGGTCATATGGAAGTAATCTGTTACATACCCTGACCATAAAGGAGGGCAGGCTGAGGGCTCCTAGTAAATGTCTGCTGGGTGCTGGTGGCTCTCGCCTGTCATCCTACCTACTCAGGAGGCTGAGAGCTGGGGATCATGGTCAGTTCAAAGCCAGTCTGGGCAGAAAAGTCCCCGTGAGACTCTGATCTCTAATAAACTACTAAAAAACCAGAAGAGGAGCTGTGGCACTTGTCTTGAGCTAAGAGAGCTCAGGGGCAGCGCCTGGGCCCTGAGTTTAAGCCCCACAACTGACAAAAAAAAATATTCACCAGCTTCTGCAATACTTCTGGATATTGGAGAACAATAAACTGCTATTTTCTGGGTCACTGACATATAAATGTAAGATCAGGTTTAAACCCATATGGTTTTGATCCAGATGCGTTCTCTAGAGCTGACAGAAAAGTGTCCCCTGTAATGAGAGCGTCTGGTATGGTGTAAGAGTTCTTAAAGGAACTACTGAAGCCACTACTTTACATAGAAGGCGTGGGCAGGGATGGCTTCCCATCAGAAGATGCGCCAGAGACTGTAGTTTAGAAGAATGACTGGCACTGTCACAGAGAATGCATTCATCACATTAGTCAGGGACAGCCAGACAGAGCACGAGAGAGAGAGAGAGAGAGAGAGAGAGAGAGAGAGAGAGAGAGAGAGACAGCTCCCTGTCTCACACCAGGCCTCACACTACAGCTCCGCCATTTTCTCCATGAGACACCCTGGAGTTTGTTAAAGAAACGGAGACTAAGGAGCTCTCTCTCTCTCTGTCCATCCAGGAAATAATCACAGGACGCCACCGACTGGGTGGCTGATGGGCTGATGGGCTGAAGGCCGTGATCAAGGCTGCTGACAGACTTGGTGTCTGCTACGACCTTGCTTCTTGTTTCTGGGATGCCTGTACCCTCCTAATGTGGCAGAGGGCACAAGGGACATCTCCAAGGACTCCTTTCATAAAGGCACAGATCTCATTCCTACCCTTCCCTGCCACACTCATTTCCCCAAGTCCCTCCAGCACCAACACCATGACTTTTAGGGCTAGAATTTCAACGTGTGGATTAGGTAGGTGGGTGGGCGGATGACACCATATTCAATCCATAGCGGGATAAGTAGTGTCTTACATAATACAAAGGAGTTCACTGGCTAACTAACCGGAGCTTTATAAATAAGCACGCGGGGTTGAGCCAGACAAACAGCTAGCTCTCAGAGCACAATAGAAATTAACTGGAGGTCAACTTTCCCCTCACTCCGGCTTCTTTGCTCACAGTCATTCTGGCTCCTTTCAATGCAAGCTATGTTGGCATTCAATAAAAAGCCTGTTGTAGAATAAAGAGGCTTGATGAACGCAGGCCCAATCAGCGGCTTATTTTCCGTTCTATAATTCCCTATCACTCTCTGTGATTTTTGAACCGTGTTCATTTGCCACATACTCGATAACAATACTAAAGGCTCCTAAGAAATTAAAAAAAAAAAGCTTAAGCACATATAAATTTTTTTGACACCAACTGAACACTTATATTGTCTGGGAGGGTTGTTTCTACTGCCAGACGGATGTACCCACTACAGCAAATGCCTTAGTTGATAAGCCAAACGCCACACTCTTACAGAGAGAGATACCCACAATGCATTTCTCTCCTCCAGAGAGTCGGGTTGATAATCTGATAATATACCACAAGACCTCTCATGCTAGTTGAGCATCCTGAAGAAACAAATCAGAACAGGCGTGAGCTCTACTGAAGATGCCAGCAGCCGCGAAAACCTTCTCGAGCTGGCTTTCC